GGATTGTGGGTGACCGTAAGCAAAACCCGCAAGTCGGTGTTTGATATCCACAAAGGCAGCATCACGGATGCCTGCCTCTCTGTTGTGGCTCAGACCTTCATGGATTCCTGCTCCACCTCGGAGCACCGCCTGGGCAAGGATTCCCCCTCCAACAAGCTGCTGTACGCCAAGGACATCCCCAGCTACAAGAGCTGGGTGGAGAGGTGAGCGGCAGCGCGTGGGCGGCAGCAGCGTGGGTGCAGGGCTGGCCGGGGCGCTCCAGTCCTGCCCGACCTCCTGCGCCGGGCAGCTTTGCTCTCGGGGGCCGATGGTGCAGCAGAGTGGCTCTTGCAGCGAGCTGGTAGCACAGCTCAGCGCTGTCGAGCATCGCTGCTCTTATTTTCAGCTTGTTACAGACCAGGATCCCATCTTGCTAGATGTAAGCATAAAGCGAAATGATGTCCTTTTCCCTGCAGAGCTTAGTTTAAATCCCAAGGAGAAGCGGGGCATTTTGAGCCGCCGTGTTTCTCACGGCCCCCCTTGGTCCTTTCTTCCCGCAGGTATTACGCAGACATTGCCAAGCTCCCCGCCATCAGCGACCAGGACATGAACGCCTACCTCGCTGAGCAGTCGCGCCTGCACTCCGCCGAGTTCAACATGCTGAGCGCGCTCAACGAGATCTACTCCTACATCAGCAAGTACAGCGAAGAGGTGGGTGTCCCCTGGGGCGGGCGCGGAGGCGATGCCGTCCCACGGCACATGCGGCGTGGGAGAGGAGCCGCGCTTCTGTGCGGGAGGAGGTCGGGCAGCGATCCCACTTGCTGCCACCCAGAGCTCCTTCCTCCTCCCTCGTCCTTGATGCAGCACACCGTAGCTCGCACCGCTGCTGCCCTACTCTGTTCTGTTCATGCACAAATTGGTTCGGGTCCTGGCCATGCCTGTAGTGTACTTCCCAGGAGGACTGAGAGCTAAAATATTGTGGGAGCAACTGCGTTCCTCAGCCTTGGCATAAGCCCAGTGAGCCCACTCCTAAATGCAGTGGAAAATCATCATGACCCAGTGAAGCTCCCCAGAAACATCCCTGTCTTTTGGGAACAGTGTGGTACAAATCCCATGTTGCAGTGACGCAGACTCCTGTTTGCAAAGAATCCCTGGCAGCGTGAGCTCCTTTAATGAATGCATCACTTGAAACCAAGTTCTCGCCATCTGTTCCACCCCTTCATTTCAGTGTGAGAAGAACCTATTTTGCAATTGTGTCCATTAAAAGGAAGGGGTTTGTCATTTAATTGCATGTATGCATTTGTGATACGATGCCACAGCTATTTTCCGATTACGGTTTAAAAATCTCATAACTGTCATGCTAAATGAGACAAGAAATGTGGAGTCCAAGGTACAAGAGCGGGAATGATTGTGTTGCACGGGTAACGTGCACCGAGCAGTCCAACAAATCAATGAGCGCGGCTGCGGCATGGCGAAGCGCTCGTCGCGTTGCTTTGCCATTCGTTATTTCAGTTTCACACATCCACATTTCAAATTGCTCACATCTTGCTGCCCACCCACCTCTACCACCCCCTCTCGCGCACTGACTTCTTTCTCTTTTTTTCTCCCTTTTTATTTTTTCTGCACCAGCTCATTGGGGCTTTGGAGCAGGATGAACAGGCACGTAGGCAGCGTCTGGCATACAAAGTAGAGCAACTTATCGGTGCCATGTCTATTGAGAGCTGAAGAAAGGTTGCGGTGCTCACGGACGGCAAAGGGCAGAGGATTGCACGGACTCTCGGGAATTAAGAGGGAGAACAAGCAAGAAAGGCGCTGGACACATATAAATACCAAGGCTCTTCTGGAGGGAGCAGAGACTGGCCCAAGGACTGACTGTGTTCAAAATCATGTAGGATCCGGTTCAAAAAGGCAGGAAAAGAAAAAGACAGCATCTCAGTCAAAGTCAAATCAAGATGGATCATTTTTTCAAGCATACATGGAAAGAAGGAACCTGGAAAGTCTGGATGTCTCCATGACTGCTGCTTTGCATGAAAATTGTTTGATGTATATTAGAAAATAAAACTTTATTTAAAGGTTTTTTAAAAAAAAGGAAAGAAAAAGGAAAAAAAAAAATAGAGCAAAAACCACAGAGGCCACAGAGATAATCCTGGCAACAAGGTTCAGCTCTGAATCCTGTCCTCGAGAGACTCCTGAGGATGCGGCTCAGGCGTTCTGCGAACGGACTCTTATGCCAACTGGAAAGTCTGGAAAACCGAAATTTTCTTCTTTTTCGGATCTTACAGAAAATATGAGCACAAGTTTGCACCACACCTTTTTACACAAGTAAAATAGCAGTTTAGCCAGAAAGTAGTTCAGTGGCGGAGTAACTTATAGGCACTAGAAGGAACTTTACCCAAATTGCAAAACCATCAGATCATCCAACCTGTCTTGAAATCCAGCTTTATCTATGTATTTATATAGTGTCAATATATATATATTTTTTTTAAATCCCATTCACTGTTAAACGAGGAAAGATCTGATTTTAAATGCTTTTCCCCTTTTCCATCCCCATTCCGCCTCGCTGGACACCGGTGCCGCCGCGGAGCTCCGGCAGCGCGCTGCGCTGCGCGG